GCTTATGTACTTTCATCCATACATCCAGATACCTCAGTGGAAGTTCAGGGACATTATGGTGTGTTGCCAAAGCCTCTTTGTATCCAGGAATATAATCTGCATATGGGTGGTGTAGATTTTAATGACCAGATGCTGCAGCCATACCTGGCAACCCGAAGATCAAAGCACTGGTACAAAAAAGTTTCAATATATCTTTTCCAATTGGCTATGTATAACTCATTTGTGATTTATAAATCTGCGGGAAGATCTGGCTCTTACCTACAATATCAAGAGGAAATTATTACAGCCATGATTTATCAGCAAAGCCCTGTTCCTGAAAGGCTTCAGTCCAATGCAGTCAGTAGGCTGCATGAGAGACATTTTCCCGATGTTGTTCCTCCTAACGAAGTAGACCAGACACCCCAAAAAAGATGCAGAGTGTGTAGCAAACATGGAATAAGGAGTGACACACGTTACTATTGTCCCTCAAAACCTGGCCTCTGCATTAGAGGCTGCTTCCGCCTCTACCATACCTCACTGAGATATTAGTGTAGGTATATGGTGTTCCTGCCCGCTGCCCTGACAAATAATTTGCCTGAATATTGATCTGCTTGCTTCCTGAACAGACCCTTGCTTGTTTATTGACCACGTTTCTGCCTGCTGCCTGGACTGATTCTTTACCTGGATACTGACCATGTCTCTGCCTGCCACGTTAACGGACCTTCGCCTGCATACTGACCATGTCTCTGCCTGCCGCCCGAACTGACCTAGGACTGTTTATTGACCACGTTTCTGCCTGCTGCCTGGACTGATCCTTTGCCTGCATACTGACCTGGTCTCTGCATGCCACCTGAACTGATCTGTCTGCTGCTTGTAGTCATCAATCTGCATGTCCCACTGACAATGTTCCAGCCAAAACACCAGTCCCAGCCATCTCTGCTGACAACTGCACTTCTGGAACCACAGGTACTGTTTTGTTTTCCTAGTGGTGATGTCACTGGGTCTAAAATAATGTTTGTAATGAAAATCCAAGGTTTTCATTTAAAAACAAATTGGCATGTTGATGAGGGGGAAAGGTGGAACAAGGGAAGTCAAAATACAACGTTTTTCTATTTGAATGAGTATTATTTTGAAGTGAGGGGTCCTGCACTTAAAATATCCCTCGTATGCATAATTTTACCACTATTGACTTTACTGAGGAGGGTGAGGAAGGCATATGAGGATATGTCATACAAAAAATAACTTATATTTTAATAGCAGAGATTTACTGGCATTGTACATGTACTGACTGTGCAATCCATGTACTGAACTATAATATGTACAACTATAGCTGGTCACAGGCAGCAGTGACATCATACATTCACAATCTGACCATATTTCATGTTGTGCATGGGCATGCATACTTATACTATATGGGCAAAACTGTGTGCACACCTAGCCATCACACCTACTATATACCTAAAGTTTTATGAATATAAAAACATTCTGCGCTATGGAAGCTGTCTCAAAGTGATAAATATAAAAGATGAAAAGCTGCCATGCTAATAATATAAATAGATAGATCAAACAAATGCACTGCGCTAATCAATATTCTTAATACGTGAATGATATAGTGCTAAATATCAAATAGATCACATATAACCAATATAATTAACAAATAATCATATATAGTTAAAAGTGTTTCTCATTGTAATATCTCCAGTAGAGATTAAGTGCAAATTGGTAATTAAAAGTCCACCATCAAATTGATGCAAAAAAAAAAAAAGTGACAAAGTGCCTATATATATCTATATAGCTATATCTATATATAGATATAGCTATATAGATAGATATATAGATATAAAATAAAAAACCCCATCAGTGATAAGTCCTTCTTATAGCTGTAGTGTGCAAACTCCAGGTGACTGTGAAACACACCGCACTCACCAGACTTCCATATTCAAAGAGGCATAACAATCCCGGATCACAGTGAACGTCTGCGCCTCCACTCGCAATAGGAACTTCCTCCTTCACTGTGTGCTCTTTCACAATTGCTTTTTCAAAAAATATCCCAATCCGTCATGAACAAGCCAGTCGAATAATCACACAATTAAAATCCTTCGAACTAAGCGTGTCCCAACCTCAGTGCGTGTCCACTTCTTTCGACACGTTTCGTACAAATACTTTTTCAAGAAAGTGCAGACGTACTGAGGTTACTAGTTACTTTCCTTATATCTCTCCCAAACAGGAAACTGTCATATGTGACCGGAAGTCTATGTCCATGTGACAGGAAGTCTAGACCCATAGCAATTGCAATAATAAAAGTGGCCACCAGAGGCCACTCATGTTAATAATGAGTGGTTTAGGATTTTGAGTGACCTCTAGTGGCCACTTTCTATCATTATAATTGCTATGGATATAGACTTCCTGTCATGTGAGTGACCTCCAGTGGCCACTTTTATTATTACAATGGCTATGGATGGGGACTTCCTGTTATGAGTGACCTCTGGTGGCCACTTTTATTATTACAATGGATTTGGATATAGACTTCCTGCCACATGAATGACATCTAGTGGCCACTTTGACTATTACATTTTCTATGGATGTAGACTTCCTGTTATATGAGTGGCCTCTGGTGGGCACTTTTATTATTGCAATTTCTATGGGTCTAGGCTTAATGTCACATGGACATAGACTTCCTGTCACATATGACAGTTTCCGGTTTGGGAGAGATATAAGGAAAGTAACTAGTAACCTCAGTATGTCTGCACTTTCTTGAAAAAGTCTTTGTACGAAACGCCTCGAAAGAAGTGGACACGCACTGAGGTTGGGACACGCTAAGTTGGAAGGATTTTAATTGTGTGATTATCCAACTAGCTTGTTCATGACGGATTGGAATATTTTTTGAAAAATCGATTGTTTTCTGGAAATCTTGGAACGGATACGTTTTTTAAACGACCAAACCTGAACCCGAAGCTTTCTTGTGAAAGAGCACAGAGTGGAGGAGGAAGTTCCTATTGTGAGTGAATATAAAGCAGGTGATCCTGTTTTCTCCATCGACCTCTCTCTATTCCAAATCTGAATTGTAATACATAAATTAGGAAACATCACACAAACTGGGACACCACCCCTATATATGCAATATATCAAAAAAAGGGGGAAAGAGAAAGAAAGGGGCTTTGTGGTGACCACTGGAGAATAGCAGGGAATTGATCCAATAATAAAGTCAATTGATTCATATATATATATATAAAATACAATTCCATTTTTAATATACTCAATTCATAATGTCTATACATATAAATATGCTAAAATTCATCCATATAAAAAAACCATAAATGGATGTATACACCATAAATAACCTCCCTGGAACCCACACAGAAACCATGAAGTTAAAAGGAAACAATTTCTAGCCCTCATGGAGATATGGTGTTTGATATTAGTTAAAAGGTTCAACTCATGTGTGAACTTGGAATGGACCCATATTGTAGTTAAATAGTATACCTTGTACTGGTGAAGCTCCTCAGACTGTCAGGGGCAATTCCTTCTCTCAGAACCTCCAACTGTCCCCCCTCCATGCTCCCACTATGCAACCCCCATGTCGTCCCATTGACGGCATCTAACGTGGGCAGATAGGACGAGCCAGTAGTCTGCACATGCACCCTTATAAGCGCATCCATGAGGGCTAGAAATTGTTTCCTTTTAACTTTAGACACATTGAAAGAATAGAAACAATGCAAATAGAAGTCATAGACCTGAAAATAACAGTTATATATATTTAATAAGTGAAGTTATATAGAATTATTTATAATTTGTGGAAACTGATCTGGACCTGATCATGGAGATGGTAGTTTGTTTGTTCAGGGCAATTTCCCTTGGACTATGGACTTATGGATGTGTTGGCAATTATTGGAATAGAGATCAGGAATATATAATCTAACCCTATAGGTACGATTGGGACGGATGCTTGGCTTCCTTGCTTTCGGACTGCCTCCCTTCGGCACTCCTGTCTCCTGGTTGGGTGGGGAGACTCCCTGCAGATGGATATTCAATTACCGGAAAAAGAAAATTAAGTTGGTATTTACTGCATTATAAAGATATATGGTCAGCAGATATTAATGATTCTGATATATCCAATATCATGTAGACTATTGCAAATTGATTCTCATACCCATACAAATACTATAGGTTAACCTCTCCAAATCTTCCTGACGAAGCCTCGGCGAAACGCGTTGAAGACTGGAGCAAGCACAGAATCATGGCTGAACTAATGATATATAGAACAATTATGTACAATTAATCATGCAAATAAGATATGAATACAATGAGGGCAATGACCAATATATGAATTTATAATCATGGTTTCTGTGTGGGTTACAGGGAGGTTATTTATGGTGTATACATTTATTTATGGTTTTTTATATGGATGAATTTTAGCATATTTATATGTATAGACATTATGAATTGAGTATATTAAAAATGGAATAGTATTATATATATGAATCAATTGACTTTATTATTGGATCAATTCCCTGCTATTCTCCAGTGGTCACCACAAAGCCCCTTTCTTTCTCTTTCCCCCTTTTTTTGATATATTCCAAATCTGAAAATAGCTGCTGCACCTTTTTGCGCGACAGGTGATTTAGTCCACGCGATAAACCGCAAAAGGTGTGTACAGCCTCTATTGACTTCAATGCAAATCTGTGTTTTGCGCGATAAATAGCCTTGGTGTAAACCTTGCCTTAAGCTTTTCCCCAGGGGGGAAATACTTCCATTCTCCTAGCACATCAGCAACTGATGTATGATGGGAGTAGAAGGGGTTATACTGGCTGTCTAACAGATTTTTTTTGGTTGGCAGTGTCCATTTTGCCTAGAGGTGGTAGCATAGCCCAATTGTTGTGAAAGTAGAAGTTTTAATCAAAAGCACAGATTAATGCTTTCATGTCATTTTTCTTCTTTTTGTAGTATTGAGCATTATATGTTTGTACAAGACAAAATACACACATTTAATGGTATACACAGAATTGGAAGATTTAATTTACCTGGCTCTTGCCATGTAAGCACGGAGCTGTTGCAAGAGACTTTCCCAATATCCAATATCCAGGTTTGGTCCTCCTGCCCTTATTTTGCTCTCAATTCCTTGAGAAATGACCTGCAGCTGGCTGTAGGTCTTCCCTTTAAACACAGCCTGTACATCTGTGCAGACAGAGGCATTCACGCCTTCTCGCCTCTCTCCTGGAACAGACAAAACAAAATTCTTACAATTAAAATTTTGGTCACATAATGGAAACTAATGTGCAAAACACTGAGAATTGAACAAAACTGGAGCAGACAGAATCTGAAGCCGTTTCCCAGAGCAACCAATCAGCTTCTATCTTTCAATTTCAAAGCGTAACTCAACAAAATTGAAGAGAGAATCTGATTGGTTACTATGCACAACTGCTCTAGATTTTATCTGTAAGTTATGATAAATTACCCCCGTATGTAATTTTAAAGTCAGGAATCATTTATTGTAATATCCAGTATTTACACTCTTCTTGTTACCCCACTCTGATATAGACAGATAGGTATAAATAAGGTATAATTCTATGTGTCCGGTAAATAAGCTGCATTCTTTTCTTTTAAGTGCAGTTTAGTGTAGGCTCAGTTTGAGACTGTAGCTCTCCATAGATGCTGCCATCTCTCCAGGCTTAGTGCAGTGCTGAAGTCGGCACCCTTTGGGCAAACGTATGGTAAATTGCACGTTCACAAAGCCTTTTGCTTTTTTTCATTTAATTCTGACTGCTTTTGGTATTCTACAGATTTATAATCAACACTAAACTGAGGCATGAGATAAGACAGCTTGTAAGGCCAGTATTGAGGAGAACGAAAGAGGATAACAAATAGCAATCAGTGAGAGATTGGAGGCAATACAAAGAGTTGAAAAATCAGATTACATAGGTCACTATAAAGTCACCAACAGGCCTATTAATAGTTTAACCATGACCATTTACAACTCCAAAAAAGTTGGGACACTGTAAAATCTACATAAAAACAGAATGCAATGATTTGCAAATCTCATAAACTAGGGATGTTCAGATACCAGTGCTGATACTTGTGCTGAGAACTACCAGGGTTGCAGCTGGGACCTACCTCTGACGCTCCACCACTGTCCTGAAATCACTAGTCTGTATTGTTTTAGAAAAACTGTCCCATGACAAACAAAAATGTATCAGTAATTCTATCTGAGTACTTGGACATGTATCAGTTGGATGGGGGGAGTGAACTCTGTCAAGATGATCCTCCTACGCAAGCTGTTATACAACTTCCGCACACTACCTGTCGCAATACCAGGCCATGCGAGCCATTCAGAACCAGATCTTGGACTTTGTGTGGCAAAATAAACGCCCTCGGATCCCTAAATACACTATCTGCACCCACAGACGACAGGGGGGTTTGGGATTGCCAAACCTCAGAAAGTATTTGCAGGCTACACAAATAGCACCGCTGACGAGTCTATTTTTGAACTATCCAGGCTCCGTTGTGGACAGAGCTGGAGGGGACGATTTGCCAACCCATAGCGGTAAGGGCTTTACCCTGGCTTCCGCCTTTCCGAGCGCCCCAGTACCATGAGCCCCATAATGCGCTTGACCCTGAAAATCTGTGACAGCACCAAAATATTATAGCAAGCCGATATCCCCACATTTACCGTTGCTTCCCATCATGGGCAACCCCTTGTTCCCTCCAGGCCTGGACTCTCCTGGGACATTCGCATGGTGGAACACGCATAGATTCTCATACCTGCATAACTTCCTAGATTCTCATACCTGCATAACTTCCTAGAGAGGGATAAAATCCGCAGCTGGCCTTCCATTCAGGAGGCCTCGCGAGCCCCGGCTGCGGAATTCTTCCGCTATCTTCAGCTACGACACTGGGTCTCCGGCCATCTTACAAATAGAGTGACATCACCTGCCCTGTCCATCTTCAAACACATATGTTATCATACCCCAGCACAGCCAAAATTGATCTCTATACTTTATGCCCACCTTAATTCGGTCCAATCTCGATTGAGTCATAGCTATGTCTCAAGGTGGGAACGGGACCTGGGAGCTCCCAAATCCGAGGCAGAATGGCAACAGATCTGGACCACAGCCGCCACATGCACGATAAACGTGACATCCATGGAGACTGCCTACAAGTCCCTGATGAGATGGTACATGGTCCCTACCAGACTGGCCCATGTCTCCTTCGCAGAAGTGCGACGCAGAATAGACTCCATCAATGAGAAATTGTCTAGCATCCTCCTGGACACACAGGAAAAACTGAAAACCTGGGATCCTTGGATACAATATGCCCACCCTTTTCTGCCACTGGCAAGCTTGACGGCCATCTGACCGGGTGGGGCTTCATGGGGCGTGCCTTGCAGGGACAACCGACACTATTACCTATCTCCCTCCTCTTCCTACCTTCTCCTCGGAGAACCTCTATCTGTCTCTCTACTCCTTCCTTTCTCCTCAAGGCTACTTCGCAACCAAGAGGGCTTAGCGTATCCCAAGAGTCAGATCCATAGGCTTCCACTCAATCTGTGATGTAGGCCGAGGCAGGACTCTTTGGATCTTACACAACAATCCCTATAGCCCTGCCACGACTTAATACCCGTTTGACATAATAGATCCTCTTATTTGTTAATCTGTTTACCTTCCGGATCTCGAGATCCACACGTTTGCAAATGACAAAACTTATACTGTACGCAATTGTATTACTACAATTTAATTCTCTTTTTTTGTTATACTGGAAAACACAAAATCTTTGTGAAAGAAAAACCAATCACACATTAAAACAGGGATGTACAAATCCCAGGAGCCCCATATGCTCCTTAAAAATGACAGCTGCCTTCTAACTTTCACATTTTTCTCTAGTCTACCCTTGGAGCTGGAAAAGTATCTGTACATGTACCAAGTACGGCACTTGGAATCTGAACATCCCTATCATAAACCCATAATTTATTGACAATAGAAAAGGCACAAAAATGTTTAAACTGAGAAAATGTGTAATTTTAAGGAAAAAAAATAATGTAATTTTGAAATTGATGGCAGCAACACATCACAGGGTCCCTTGAATCTGTGCAGGGTACAACAAAATTTCAAAACCATCGAGGAATATTTGAAGAGAAACATACTGCTCAGTGTTAGAAAGCACTTAGTTGCATGTCATGGGTCGTCAAACAGAATGATGACTCAAAGCACACAGCTAAAAGCCCCCAAGAATGGCAAGAACAAAACATTTGACCATTCGAAAGTGGCCTTCTGTGAGCCCTGATCTTAATCCTCCAAATATATATGGAAAGAGCTAGGACATGCAGTCCGGAAAAGACATGCGTCAAAACTGAGGCAGCTGAAACCTTTGGTCAATAAGAGTGTCCAAAACTACCTGTTGGCAGGTGCAAGTCTAAAGCTGGCCATACACCTATGGATTATCTGTGGTCAGATAGAAAAATTGCAACAGATTCCTCCATGTACGCTAAACTGTGTGGATGGTGGAATTTCCCACTGCGCCAAGCTTTAGTATCTTGCTAGTTGGCCCCGCTGGCTGTCAAAATACATGAACAATCCGATTGGATACAGGCATTGTTTGGGTGTTTTGAGAGCCAGTGGGGCTGACTAGCAAGATACGGAAGCTTGGCCCAGTCGGAGCTTCCTACATACACACAGTTTAGCGTAGATGGAGAAATCTGTTGCACTTTTTCCATCTGACCATAGAAAATCTGCAGATAATCTATAGGTGTATGGCTAGCTTTACTGATTGCTACAGAAATCACTTGTTTGCAGTGATTGCCACTAAGGCTTTGTGCATACTATGTGATTTTTGGATCCATGTGGTTTGGAATAGATCACTGTCCCTGGACCCAGGGTAGATGTGGCTTCCGGGACAACTATTCGAAGTTGCATCTAATTGTATTAAATACAATTACAAGCTGACTGCCGCTTACAGATGCGGACACCGTCACCCAGTCATTAACTTGAATGTGTACAGTGGTCACAGCTAAATGGGACATTTGGGATTCCTGCAGCATGAACAAAGCCTAAGGTTGTGTAACAAAATATTAAGAGCCCCATTGTTTTTGTCCATGCCATTTTCATTTGTTCTATTATTTTAAATATTCTGTTAAATCATAAAAAAAAGAAAAAAGTCTGATGTTTATTAAATATGGAACAATGATAGATGCAAATTACTTTGGTCAGTTTCAAGTTATTTCAGATAAAAAAAAATGTTTTTGTGGACGGGAACCAACAAAATTGTCTGTACAAGTTTAACATTGAGCTGTTTAAATTGCTGACCCCTGGACAGAAAGACAGAAAGAATCATGCTCTACCTGAGATGCAAATAACAATACAGTTACAGTATATGCAGTGTCACACTTACCTGGTTTCCATGCTGAGTTTTTCCCTCTGCCCTGCATGCGCTGCTTCCAGCCTAATGCAGGTCAGCAGCCAATCTTTTCTCTGCCCCTCCTTTATAGTTAGTCAACCTGTTGCTCAGGGTTCGAGCAACGTGTCTGTATACTAGCTGCCAGACCCCCTGTGTTCCTAGTTATATTGCTTTGTGTTTCTGGAGATCTCTTATCCGTGTGCTTCCAAGAATTCCCCCTTGCTTCCGAGTATCCCTGTGTTTCCAGCATGCCCATGAAGATTTCCCTTTATGGCTGTCTTCCCTTTTTTGTTTTCAGTGTCCCTGCTATCCTCCGAGTTCACAGTGCATTACTGTGGATATTGCTTTACACACACCATTGCATTCACCTGTGTGCTGTTTGTCTGAGCTGCCTTAACCGCTGCACTGCTTTACATTTCCCAGAGCTCATGTGTCTGCTCCCCCATCCCCCCCCCCCACCCGCTTCCTCCCTCCCCTAGC